CGATCTTCCATTTCAAAGCTGCTGCTAGGCTAAAGCTGCCACGATGCGAGAAGGAGGGACACAAAGCCATGCGAAATCGTTAGGAGTGCACATGCTCAGGACTTGATGCGACATCAGGAGCGGATCGAGACAATCATCAGCGAAATGCTCGTGCGCATTCCAGAGGTGACGTCCCAGGCTGGCGATTACACATCTGCGGATGTGCTGTTGGGGTACTTATAGGCGAGCTTTTGCTGCTGCTGCTGTTGCAGCAGGCAGTAAGGGACGAGCTGGGCAGTCTGAAGATACCGCAGCTGCCTCAGGATGTGCTGTCTCAAGGTCTTAAACATAGTTTACAGTGTATCCCGGGCTGAGGATGAACAGGCAGCGCAGCTCTGTCAGAATGTCGCAACGCAGCTCCCTGCAATTTACAGGGAGTGTGGCAGACCTTCCAAGCGTGCCGCAGGCGGGAAAGAGTCAGGGTTTGCATTGGTGTTTCGGTGAGGAATAGTTTCGGTGTTACTGTTACTGGCGAGGGTCAACCGGTGGCACAACTTGTACTTACAGCGCGGCCCGAGTGAGGGTTGTTTGTCAGGTATCATTGAACCAGCCTTTTGGGGAAGATGAAAGCCTCAACAATCAGCTGGCATTTTCACGCTCTACTAGTGCCTCGATTGCATCCACAGCATTTGGCATGAAAGCACACATGCAGCAGAAGGCAATCCAGAGTTTTGTTCAGCCTTGATGCGATTCCATTTCTTTGTTAGTCGTCCCCGTTCTTGCAACGACGCTTGTGCTACATGGGTGTCACCATGGCAAAGTGCGGCTTTGCTTTAGCTGGACCCATCGACTGAGGCAGTAATGGCAAGTCTCCCTCACGACGTCCATCCCAACAGGATAAACTAGAAGCCTGGGGAGGCAACGGCACGACAGTGGACGCGGCCTGTGTTTCGTCAAGCCAAATGTAGTCTGCCCGACCTATCAGGCATAGAAGAGGAGGCCTGCGTTGAGGGAACATGTGGAAGCCTTCTGACCCGTTCCTGGGGTCGGGCTCTTACCTGCGAGGCAAAGTTCAAGTTGGACAGGGACAAAGTCAAGGGTGTCAAAGACTTTCTTGCCCCTTGACTTTTCATGGCTCATGATCGCTTCAGCACTGCTTCATGCCCTTGACCAGCTGGCGGCAAGGAGATGAAGAAGCGGCAGCTTGATGCGGCGACTGGAAAGAGGTGCCAACGATTTGCTAGGATGCTGGCACCCAGATTGCAAGCTAGTCGTATCGAGTCGTGGCGGACTCTTCTGTCCTGCCCCTTCAATGAAGTTGAGGTCACACATCCGAAATTTGAGTTGGGCTGCGCAATGCTGATTCTAGTTTGCGCCGTCATGATTGGCGTCGAAGCTCACTGGACAGTCGAGCATATTGGTTCACCTGAGCCATTGACCTTTCGCATTCTGAACTCGATCTTCAACCTTCTCTTCGCTGTGGAACTGATACTTCGAGCAACAGTGGATGGCCTATATTTCTGGTCCTGCTCCAATCCCTCCATACACTGGAACTTGATGGATTCGGTCCTCGTTGCTAGATTCTTGCCTTCATAATCGCACGTGCGGTTCAAACTGGTGCCATGTCCTGTGCCCAGTCCTTCTGCTAAACCAGGTGGGCTTCTGGAGGAATTGTTGCTCGTGCTGTTATACGCAGCCAGTGTCAACTTGTCAGGCGCAAGATGCATGTCTAGTGCGTGAGCAAGCAGTGGTGTAATGAGACGTGCCTTCTGAGTGTAAGCCATGAGACATTTCATCTGCTGATGATGGCGAGACCAGTTCCCGATGCTGCATGCCAGGTCTGAAGATACTGCGGATGGTGCGATTGGCGCGGATATTGCGAATAGTGAAGGTGGTGCGCTTCTTCTCCGAACTACGCATTATGGTAAATGGGGTCATTGGCTCGGCGAAGTCGCTTATTTGGGCTCTACTCCTGCTGATCTTGGTAAATTTCCTGTTTGGTGTTCTCGTGATGCAGCTGTCCGTGGAGTACCTGGAAAATGTCGACTCTCGTGCTGAATTGCTGGACTACTTCGGCTCCCTTGATCGTACTATGCTGACACTGCCTCTCTGCTAATTTCTGATCCACATTCTCCATCATGGACTCACTTCGACATCTGCATGTCATGCTGTGCAGAACAGGTATGAATCAGTCTCTGGCGGCATAGACTGGAACAATGCCGTGGTCACCCTGCGTCCTGTGGGTGTGTGGATGGAGTACATCTTCGGAGCTTACGTGTTCTTCACGGTGCCTGGACCTTGTTTCAGTTCGCCAGTGGTGCGGCGCTTGTTTTGGGGCTCGCCAGGTGTTCTGCTGCATGAACATAGTCACAGGCATCTTCGCATGGACCTGAGCTAGATTTCGTCGTTGCTTTCTGACGTAAGCTTCTTCTTGCCGCAGAGTTCCGTACATGTGAGCTTCTGAGGTGGACAACGCAAAGGCCTTGAAGGTCGCTGACGAAGAAGCCATGCATCATGAGGCGATGAAGGACTCCTCAATGGCGGTTTCGATTTTGCAGGGGATTTCGGGATGTGCGCTCGTGATTTGCGAAGATGCAACAGTGCTTTTCTGGGTTGCCTACACCGCCCCGAACATGGAAGTCGTGGCCCCAAGCCTTGACGGTGGCCCCAGATCTTTCGCTTTCGAACAATGATGAGGGTGACAGTGATCCCCGTGATCCTGTGAATCTTCGCATGCTGCACGGCAGGTCAATCTTTCAGAGCAAAAGCTCGGCATGCAATCTCTGCCTGTCCTTGGTGTGTTCTGTCCGCTGTAGCTGTCACCAGGGATTCAGGGTTAGAACAGTTCAAGTTTAGGTGTAGTGCAGTTTCGCCATGCAGTGTTGCTTGTGGAACACTTTGGAATTGCCAGTTCGCCTTGTGACCCTCAGAGTCGTCACGGCAGACCTCGTCATTCAAATCCCAAACTTCTGCTGGAGCTGCGTCGCGGAATCGCTTCTCTTGTAGCCTCAGACTGCTGGCATGCTATGTTTTGGACTAGGATGTTTGCGTGGGATGAAGCCTTGAGGTTTTGCTCCAGGCTTCCATGTTGACGCTGGTCATTCTTTAGTCCGTGTTGTGGTGCTGTCCGCTGCCCCTCACCCCTGCAGGTCATGTGCGGCCTGTACTAAACTTCTCAAATGTAAAGGCATGTAAGATGCCGAGTCACGCAAAAGGAGCAAGCATCAAGTCAAACGTCTTCCAGACTCTGGAATGTAGCCGAACTTGAACAGCAGCAGTCATCGAATTTGCAGCAGAACTTTGACAAGTTTAGGATCCTTGGTTCAGCTGTCAGACGAGTGCATTTGTGAATCTCATGCAGAAACGACGCCCGCGAGCACACGAAGCAGGCTCATCAGCAGGTAGGTGTACAGAAGGCAGCTGAGCAAGCATGCAGCCGTCGCGACAAGCAATCGAACCAGCAAGCCCGCGGTCGAGTAGTCCTGGGAGCTTCTGGCCTTCTTCGGAAGATACATTTTGGGAAAACACATTGCTGCATTACCCTGTCATCTCGTTCAGCCTACGTCAACTGGCCCTTGTGTTGCCTGTCGCTGTGTTCCTGTGTCTTGCTTGCCATCCAAACCTAGTGCATTCTTCTAATCACGGTTTAGGTCTAGAGTCTGGGGTGTGACCAGTGGCCAACTGAAGCGAGGAGCGACAAAAGTGGATTGTCGAAGTGGCAGCCTCCTGGATACACTGAATAGGACTTGGCTCCAATGTGTTTCTGCGAAAGCAGCGCAGAGCAGACAAGGATCTCTTTTCGCGAATCAGCGAAGCACATGAAGGGAGGTTGACGAAGCAACAGTTCGTCTATCACGTCACGAACAGCGATCGAATTGCAACATGCTTCTCTCACCTGGGCACTGGCCTTATTTGACTTGTCCTTGTGACTTGTCACAAGCTCGATTCGTTGAAGAAGGCATCAATACAGAGACGACGAACACGGACGAGCTGTGGGATCTCTTCGACATGGATGAAAACGGCTGCATCGACCAGGACCTTCAGAGGGCCTCCGATGGAAGCGACTCGCTTGAACTTAAACTCAGCGATGTCTCGGGCAGGAAGAGTTTGCCATGGGCATCAAACAATTTCACGGAGCCGCTCGCAGCATCGATTTGTTCAAGATGAGACGAGCTGCTCGGCCCCACTTCTGTTGCAGCAGAGCTGTCAGCATTTCGTAGTTTCGTCCCGAGGAGGTCAAGGAACTCGTCCGGCTCGTCAAAGAGGTGTGGGGAGAACGTGGGCAGAACTTGCTTGCCCCATCCACCAACGTCCAGCGAGGTTTCCTTCCAGATCTCGTGAGCAGTGAGCGTCGGCGTGTTATGTCGCAGAACATGAGTCCAAGCTGGTGAGCAGTGCGGTACGAAGGGACATAGGAGGAATGTTCAGACACGCAGAGCTGATGCAAAGGCAGTAGCACATGCAGAAGCCAGAACCGGGGTGAAATTGTGTATCTCTTCTGTGAACACGCTGTCCCCGTATTTATTCCGAAACCCAACATGTCAGAGAAGAAGCACATATGGAACAACAGCTTGGCCCATTTCTCAAGAAATGTTCCGAGCAGTGGCACGACATGACTTCAGCATTCGTGTATAGCCGAAGGCCTGTTTCTCTTCGTTTGGAAGAGAGAGGTGCGAGAAGGCAAAGCTTTCACTCGCCATCCCGGTGCATGTCTTGGTTTTGAAACAAAAGCTTTTGGTGCTGGTGATCAAGCGTCGCACTTTGCAGTCTGATGACGATTCGTGCCATCCTGATCACTCCTTCCAGAATGCTCTCTTCCAGCTTCTCTCGCAGGTGAAAGCTTCACTGCACAAATGCCATGTAAAAGCCGTGAATATGACAGGCCAGGCACTACAACGTTAGAGGTACCGTCTCTTCCGGTTCATTCTCAAAAATTCCTGGAAGCCAACAGTACCCAGGTCTAAATACAAGCGATCACTCAAAACTAACCGGAGCGGCAAGCCGGCCTGATTTTCCTCGCCATGAAAGCCGGTTACTTGGCTGGCCTTGGGCTGCCCTTCGGAGGCGGGAACGTGATTTGTGAACTTCTCGCCTGGCGGATGTTACATGGAGGTGGCGTCGCTGTTGCAGGTTCACCGGTGCTCCTGCACCTTCCCGAGGAGAGCCAGGACGCTGCTGGCGCGTCGGGCGCGTCCTCCGTCAAGGCGCCTTGGGCCCTGGGCCATCGCATGGCCAAGGCCATCGTGGCCGTTTTTGGTGACAGCTTCGACCAGGCTCCGAAGCAGAAGCAGGAAGCAAAGGAAGCAAAGCCCAAACAAGATGTGAAGTCCAAGCCTACCTCTCCGCAGGCAGGAGCATTGGTGCTTGCAGCTTGCTTTTAAGACTTGGGTTGCTGTCGCAACTTTTAAAGCTGTCCACGTGATCGTTTTCAGTGTCTTGACAGGTTGCTGGACTTAATTGCTTTTTTGGAGTCTGACGTGGTTCATGTCGTGCATTCATTCTGGAGGCATCCGCAGGGGCCAGCGCGGAGGAGATCTCCTGCATTTGTAGCACTGAAACCGGCAGACGACTGGGGTGAGTCCTTGAAGGAGACCTCGGACGGCAGGAGCTTCCTAGAAAAGTGGTGCCCTGGCAGAAAAAAATTGGAGCACACCAGCACAATTCGGCAGCCAGTAGTCAGCCGTCAGGATCGACACAGACTTGGCAAAAGGCGGGCGCTGCCATGGCCAGAAGGCTCTTGCGCAGTTGCTGGAGCCGCCACAAGCCAGCTGCTGGTTACCGCTAGTCAACGACTCGACGAGGTCTTGACACGATTCCCTCCAGAGCCGAATGGCTATCTGCATATTGGACATGCAAAGTCCATCACCATCAACTTTGGCTTGGCACAGAAGCCCCTTGGATGATCACTTGGCTTGCATCGGAACATGTTTTTGTGTAGCAGCCGTGTTCCAGTACGCGATGGGTGCAACATTTCGGACTGTCACGCAGGCAGAATGTTAGTGCATTTGGTGCCATGAGCCATCATGTCAGCTTTCGGCATGGTTCTTGCCATACTGCGATGTCAGGTACGGCGGGGGTTGCAACCTTCGATTTGACGATACAAATCCAGATACGGAGGAGACAGAGTATGTGGAGTCGATTCAGGAGGATGTGTGTTGGGTATGTCAGGCAGCCCCGACTGTGTGCTCCCATCCCTTCTGCTCATGCTTACTGGGCCTTGCTGGCCAGGGTCTCGACATGGAGAAGTGCAAGGCTGGTGGCAAGCCTTGGGTGGGTGAGCCCGTGTATGCAAGTGTGCAGCTCAATTGACTTTGTCCGCTTCATGTGATGTCGGCATCGGTGGAACATAGCAGAGCAAGGTGACTACTTTCAGAAGATGTATGACTTTGCCATCGATCTGATCAAGCACGGAAAAGCATATGTGGACTCGCAGACTCCCGAGGAGGCCCGAGGTAAATAAGGGATGGTGGAGGGATTCTTCCTCGGCATGTTTTCGAACCGTGGAGGTGCAGAAGAATCGCGGTGGCGGCCCGAACAATCTTCCCGGAGTCCCAAGCTCTGACAAGCTTAGCCAACGAATGCTAAGGCTGCTAAGGCTAAGGCAATGCCTTTGAGCCGCTGCACCTGTTGCACCAAGGTTGACTCGCCGTTTCGGAATCGTAGTGTCGAGGAGAACCTGCGGCTATTCGAAGAGATGCAGGCGGGAAAGCACGCAGAGGGCTCGCTCCTTCTCCGGGCCAAGATCGACATGAATCATCCGAACATGAACATGCGGGACCCACCCATGCCACTGGAACTTCAAAAGCTGACGAACGTCTGAGCTGCTAACCCCCGCTCGTGCACACATGTATCAGTTGCACTGGCTCAAGGTACCGGATTCGATTTAGTCATCACCACCGAACTGGCGACCGCTGGAAGGCCATTGTGTTGTCACCTTGTGACATTTGACTGTCCGATTGGTGGAGGTTTATCCGATATATGACTTTGCTCATGGAAATGAGGATGCAATAGAGGGCGTTACGCACTCAATTTGCACCCTGGAATTTGAGAACCATCGTGCTTTATATGATTGGTTTCTCGACGCCGGCCTGAAGAACCTGACTGCACACTTGCATGTGAGTTGTTTCGCGAGATGGGAAGATGGAGTGCAAACTTTGATGGCTCAGGATAACACGTCGATCGTTCCCAGCCGACCCTACCAGAAAGAGTTTGCCAGATTGGAAGTGCAGGGTGCCTTCACCTCCAAGCGCAAGCTCCTGAGACTGGTTCGCGATGCTTGGTGGCACTTCAAGATGAAGGCTTTGACGCAATCGAGAATCTTCTCTGTCCATCTAAGGAGGGGTATGTGACAGGCTGGGACGACCCCAGACTTCTTACTGTTCGTGGGATACGCAGACGTGGTGTTCGTCCACAAGGAGTGAAGCGAATGTGTGATGCCGCATCTTGGCAGAACCCATAGGCTCACTTTTAAACATCGCTGTTGAACGACCGAGTTCCTAACAGGGGTCCATGCAATTCGTCTTGCGACTCGATGGCAGCACTTTCATGTGGTTCCTCAATGTATCAAGCGAAAATGGACATTAATTTAGGATGGACTCCGAATTATCTGAGGATTTTTTGTTAGTCTTTGGAAGTTTTTTTTTTTTTTTTTTGTGTTTTTGTGCTTTTGCTTTCTGCTTTTCTGCTTTCCTCTGCTTTTGCTTTTCTCTGCTTTTCTGCTTCTCTCCGTTTCCGCTTCTCTTGCTTCTCTTGCTTCTCTGCTTTTCTGCTTCTCTGATCGTCTGCTTCGCTTTTTTTGGTTTTGCTTGCAGCTCTTCCTTGCTTTAATTTTGTTTTTGTAATTTTTGATTTTTGTGCTTTTGCTTTCCTCTGCTTTTCTGCTTTCCTTTGCTTATCTGCTTCTCTGCTTTTCCGCTTCTCTTGCTTCTATGCTTTTCTGCCTCTCTCTTTTCAAGTTTTCGCCTGCTGCTCTTCCCTGCTTTGATTGCTTGTTGTTTTTTCCTCTGCCTTTGCTTTCCTTTTGCTTTTCAGCTTTTTGTGCCGCTCTGCTTTAACGCTTGCTTTCTTACAATTACTATTACAATTACAATTACTATCTTCTCCAACACGCAACAGGAAATCCCTTGCGAAATCGCCTTCGAAGCCCTCTTCGAAGCGGGCCCCCTCCTTGCAAATGGGGGGAGAGGGGGCTGCGAACATGAATGAACACGTCTTCTCCAACACGCAGGAAGGAGAAAACCACACGAAAACGCTTCAAGGGATTAAACGCGAATAAAATAAAATAATCATGAATGAAACGTCTTCAACGACAGACAAGATGGCGAAAGCCAGACAAAGTAGAGTGAAAGAGAGTCTCGAATAAATGAGCAAAAGCGTCTTCTCCAACAAAAAGGATGGAGAAGCCACACGAAATCTCTTTAGAGGGTCAAAGCGAAGCAAACAAAGTCATTCTTGGAAGGTTTGCAAATGGCCCCCCCCACCACTCCCCGCTTTTTTGATACTGCAAACTTTGCTGCTTTCTTCCTCCCACCCGCCGAATTGCTGAACTGTGGACCCTGGTGCTTTCTTTTAAGCTCTACTACAATTAGGGTAGTTGCAAAAGCAACAGCAACAACAACGACAAAAGCAGTGACACAACAACAAAAGCAGCAGCAACAACGACGACAACGACGATAGTAACAATAACAACAACAAGAACAAAGAGAAGATTACTAATAATCATAAGAAGAATAAGAACAACAACAGCAACAACAACATCAACAACGACAGATACACTGGCTTAAGAATAACGAGAACAGCAACAACAACAACGATAACATTAGCAACCACAACAGCAAGTAACAATTGCAATGAAAAATGCTAATAGTAATAATAACAAAAAACGAAAAACTAATCCTATTGAATAACCCCAACAGCGGAATGGCTGTCGTCGGGCTCACATGAACGGGTGCCAGAAAAGCTCAAAGAGCTGTAGATGCAGGCATTGAACAAAAGATTCTGATTCGCTTAAGGTAAGCGTGTGCAGCAGGATTTTCGGGTTTAGGGACGGCATGGAGGTTGAGCACTGCAGCAACGCAGGCCAAATGCGTTTACCAGGCCTCGGGAAATGCATTTGGGCTCGGTTTGAAGCTTCGGGAGCTGAAGTCCAGCACGGGACTGGAAGCAGGAGGGGCATTAGCAAGGCTGAGAAAGCTGTAAAATGCGGTTGACAAGGCTTGGACAATGCATTTGGGGCTGTTCGAGACGAAAGTAAAGCGTGTGCAGCAGGATTTTCGGGTTTAGCGACGGCATGGAGATTTAGCACTGCTGCCACGCACGCCAAATGCGTTTAGCAAGCCTCGGGAAATGCATGAGGGCTCGGTGTGAAGTTTGCGGAGCTGAATTACAGCCCGGGACTGGGACCAGGAGGCAAGGCTAAGAAAGCTGTAAAATGCGGTTTCAAATCTCGGACAATGAATTGACGCTGTTGGAGACGAAAATAAAGCGTGTGCGGCAGGATTTTCGGGTTTAGCGACGGCATTGAGGATTAGCACTGTTGCAAAGCAGGCTAAATGCGACACAGGCCAAATGCATTTACCAGGCCTTGGGAAATGGATTTGGGCTCAGCTTGAAGCTTGCGGAGGTGAATCACAGCCCGGGACTGGGACCAGGAGGGGCATTAGCAAGGCTAAGAAAGCTGTAAACTGCGGTTTTCAAGCCTTGGACAATGCTTTGGGGCCGTTGGAGACGAAAGTAAAGCGTGTGCAGCAGGATTTTCGGGTGCAGCGACGGCATGGAGGTTGAGCACTGCTGCAACGCAGGCCAAATGCGTTTAGCAAGCCTCGGGAAATGCATTTGGGCTCGGTCTGAAGCTTCGGAGCTGAATTACAGCCCGGGGCTGGGAGCAGGAACGGCGTTTGCAAGGCTGAAAAAGCTGTAACATGCGGTTTTCAAATCTTGACCAATGCATTTGGGGCTGTTGGAGACCAAAGTAAAGCGTGTGCAGCAGGATTATCGGGTTTAAGGACGGCATGGAGGTTTAGCACTGCTGCAGCGCAGGCCAAATGCGTTTAGCAGGCCTCGCGAAATTCATTTGGGCTCGGGGCTGAAAAAGCTGTAAAATGTGGTTTTCAAGGCTTGAACAATGCATTTTGGGGCTGTTGGAGACCAAGGTAGCGTGTGCACCAGGATTTTCGGGTTTAAGGACGGCATGGAGGTTCAGCACTGCTGCAACGCAGGCCAAATGCGTTTAGCAGGCCTCGCGAAATTCATTTGGGCTCGGTCTGAAGCTTCGGAGCTGAATGACAGCCCGGGACTGGGACCAGGAGGGGCATTAGCAAGGCTGAGAAAGTTGTAAAGTGAGGTTTCCAAGGCTTGGACAATGCTTTTGGGGCTGTTGGAAACAAAAGTAAAGCGTGCGCAATAGGATTTTCAAATTCAGGGACGGTATTCAAGTCCAGATCTGCTGCAACGCAGACCAAATGCGTTTACCGGGCATCGGTAAATGCATTTGGGCTCGCTTTGAAGCTTCGGGTGCTGAAGTACAGCCCGGCACTGGGACCAGGAAGGGCATTAGCAAGGTTAAGAAATCTGTAAAACGCGGCTTTCAAGGCTCGGACAATGCATTTAGGGTTGCTGGATACCAATGTAAAGCGTGTGCAGCATTATTTTCGGGTTTAGCGACGGCATAGAGGTTGAGCACTGCTGCAACGCAGGCCAAGTGCGTTTAGCAGGCCTCGCGAAATTCATTTGGGCTCGGTCTGAAGCTTCGGAGCTGAATTACAGCCCGGGAGTGGGAGCAGGAAGGGCAATAGCAAGGCTGAGAAAACTGTAAAATGCGGTTTTCAATTCTCGGACAATGTAATGGGGCTGTTGGAGACGAAAGCAAAGCGTGTGCAGCAGGATTATCGGTTGTAGGGACGGCATTCAAGTTTAGATCTGCTGCAACGGAGGCCAAATGCGTTTACCAGGCTTCGGAAATGCATTTGGGCTCGGCTTGAAGCTTCCGGAGCTGAATTACATCCCGGGACTGGGGCCAGGAGGGGCATTAGCAAGGTTGAGCAAGTTGCAAAATGCGGTTTTCAAGGACTTGGACACTCGGGAAATGCAATGTGGGCTCGGTTTGAGGCTTCCGGAGCTGAATTACAGCCCGGGACTGGGGCCAGGAGGGGCATTAGCAAGGCTGAGAAAGTTGCAAAATGCGGCTTTCAAGGCTTGGACACTCGGGAAATGCATGTGGGCTCGGGTTCGGTTTGAAGCTTCCGGATCTGAATTACAGCCCGGGGTTGGGACCAGGAGGGGCATTAGCAAGGCTGAGACACATGAATAATGCGGTTTTGAAAGCTTGGACAATGCATCTGGGGCTTTTAAATATCAAAGCAAAGCGTGTGCAGCAGGATTGTCGGATTTCGCGACGGCATGGAGGTCGAGCACTGCTGCAACACAGGCCAAATGCGTTTAGCAGGCCTCGGGAAATGCATTTGGGCTCGGTTTGAAGCTTCCGGAGCTGAATTACAACCCGGGACTTCAACCAGCAGGGGCGTTAGCAAGGCTGAGAAGCTGGAAAATACGCTCTTAAAGGCTTGAGAAATGCGTTTGGGTGTGTGGGCGACCCAAGCAAAGCGCGTGCAGCAGGATTTTCGGGTTTAGGAACGGCATTCAGGTCCAAATCTGCTGCAGCGCAAGCCAAACGCGTTTACCAGGCCTCGGGAAATGCATTTGGGCTCGGTCTGAAGCTTCGGGAGCTGAATTACAGCCCGGGAGTGGGACAAGGCTGAGAAAGCTGTAAAATGCGTTTTCTCAAGCTTGAAATGTGTGTTTAGGGCCGTTGGAGACCCAAGCAAAGCGCGTGCAGCAGGATTTTCGGGTTTAGGAACGGCATTCAGGTCCAAATCTGCTGCAGCGCAAGCCAAACGCGTTTACCAGGCCTCGGGAAATGCATTTGGGCTCGGTCTGAAGCTTCGGGAGCTGAATTACAGCCCGGGAGTGGGACAAGGCTGAGAAAGCTGTAAAATGCGTTTTTTCAAGCCTGAAATATGTGTTTAGGGCCGTTGGAGACCCAAGCAAAGCGTATGCAGCAGGATTTTCGGGTCTAGGGGCGGGAATGCGTTTACCAGGCCTCGGGAAATGCATTTGGGTTCGGTTTGAAGCTTCCGGAGGTGAATTACAGCCCGGAACTAGGACCAGGAGGGGCGTTTGCAAGGCTGAAAAAGCTGTAAAATACGGTTTTCAGGGCTTGGACAATGCATTTGGGGCCGTTGGAGACGAAAGTAAAGCGTGTGCAGCAGGATTTTCGGGTGCAGCGACGGCATGGAGGTTGAGCACTGCTGCAACGCAGGCCAAATGCGTTTAGCAAGCCTCGGGAAATGCATTTGGGCTCGGTCTGAAGCTTCGGAGCTGAATTACAGCCCGGGGCTGGGAGCAGGAAGGGCGTTTGCAGGGCTGAAAAAGCTGAAAAACAGGCTTGGGCAATGCATTTGG